GTAGGGATGTCATGGCTCTAGCAGGGATATTGCAGCTCCAGAGCCCCCAGTCCTTGCTGTGGATTTCCTCTGTGAGTCCAGGAAGGTCTCTGCCTTTCTCCTGCTCATTCCTCTCCACCACAGCACGTTCCTCTGCAGGAGCTGATGCCACAGTGGTGACAAGGACAAACGTGACCCCAGAGCAAGCAGGGTCCCTTCTCCCCCTGTCACCACGGTCCTTTAAGAGGTTAAAACACTGGATAGTACATTAAAGACACGAGGTGCCCAGATCCTGCCTGATGGGAGCTGTAGGAATAACACAGAGAGGAGCTCAAATCTAATCTTGCATCTATAAACAGCTTATGTTGCTTTTTATGAGCAGTTGAATCAAACAGTGGGAATTGAAAGCAGCTGTTCCTCAGTGACTGCACAGGAACGAGCCAGTGGCAGCTGAAGTCAACCCCGTCGGGGCAAAACGCCTCCCATTCCCAGGCAAAGGCAGAGGGAGGGCGTTGGAAAAAGGGACAAATCAGAGGAAAGTGTTTTCTTCTCCCAGGTGTTGTGCTGCCATGAATTTATTCACCACCTGTGGTGATGCTCTGATGATTGTTTTGCAGGTAGGAGGAGGGAGAGAGTCCCCAGCTTGTGTCACACAGCCCCCAGATGGCTCCTGGAAGAGAGGAACCATCCAGGGAGCCCATCCTGGCTGGGCTCCATCCCAGGCAAGTCACCACCTGCACCCCAGGGACCAGTCACCCTGTGCCAGGAGGGTGGAGGTGGCACCTGGCCCAGAAATACCTGTTCTTTCCCCATTTTCCTTCTCCCTTGCTGATTCATCAAGACTCAGTTTCCAGGAAACCTTCAAAACTAAACTTTTGGATCTGTCCATGATGCAGAAGAAAGAATGTTTTTGATGTTTTATCTAATGTTTTGGGGTTTTTAAGGGCCTTTTCTGGCTGGGACAGGCAGTGTGTTGATGAAGGAGAGATGCCTGCAGGTCTCTCCTGTGCCAGGGACAGGGCCAAGCAGGTCCCTCTTTGCTCCATGGTGCTGTTCACCTGGGACCTGGAGGGAATGCTCATGGGGTTGCAAGGGCTACAGGTTTGAAAAAGGACTGGTTTAAGGGCAGAGAGGAGGTGAAGACCCTCCCAAAAACAGGGTGTCTGTTTGACACAACATGTCCCTCGTGCTGTCATTCCTCCAGGTCTGCATCAGCAAGAGGTGGCCAGGCTTCTGATCCTCACCCCCATGTCTGAACTCTTCCCTCACATTCCCTGCCTCTTCCCCCTCTCCATGGGAATATCCTGTTACCTCCAAGAGCTGCTGGGGATTGAGGGGTCTCCTCCACCCACCCCATCCATGAGCCACCCACCCACCACAGCCAAAGCCAAAGCAGACAAAACATGTCAGGGAGGGAGAAATTAATTTAATGAGCCAAACGTCGCAGGGAAAACCCAAAAAGAATAACTTAAGGTTTCAAACCAAGTTGCCAGTGTCTTATTTAATGCCAGGCTTAGGCACACACACGGAGACCAAGGAGTGGTGGCTCACGTGGAAACATCCCATGGAAAGGACAGGGATGGAGGAATCTCCCTCTTCCTGGTGCTCAGGTGGGTTCAAACATTTCCAAGAGCCTGGGAGAGAAGCAGGAGAGGGCTCAATGCAGTGAGTCTGTGTGAGAGTGCTCCTTCCCAGATAAACCCAAAATGTCAATAGCTGTCCTTCCATACCGTTAAAAAAGAGTTTTATGTGCAAATAGTTTGGTGAAGAATTAAATCTCCTGGCAGGGTTTGCCACCCAACCGTCTCTGTTGCTGAGCTGATGAGCAGGAACCAGAGAGAAATGGATTAAAAAGAAAATAAAAAGGATGCTGAACATTCAAAGATCAGACTTCTGTCTGTGTCTGTTTTAATCTTCTGATGTTTAAAGAGGCGAAGGGGGGAGATTTTTAAATGTTTAATTTGTGTATTTAGTAGTACCTGAAGGTCATTTTTATGTCTCTTTTTTTTTTTCCCCTGCTGCTTCACACAGCTGAGGGGAGGAGAAATGTTTAAGGAAAGTAAATAGATAAGAAACCATAAGAAATTGGCAGGGGAGCCAGCAATTTGGATTTTCTTTTAAATTGAATAGATTTCAGAGGGATAATTCACCCTAAAAGAAACCTGTTTCTTCTGTTTTCCTCAGGCAGACTTATAGGAACACAAAAAAGCTTCACAAACATCCACGGTACATTTTCCATATTCTTACCAATGTTAGTAGGAACGTTGATATTTCTCAGTTCAGAAATTTCCTCTCTAAGTACTTCGTATTTTCTTAACATCGAGTCATTCACTGCTGCAGGTCTTAAAATATTTATTCCCACTGGCTGTTGCTGATGACCCCCTTAGCTCCTGGGGGGTTAGAAAATCTAGCACCATAAACCACCCCAACCTCTTCCTTTCCTCTTTCTTTTCCACCTCAGCCTCTTCCAACACAATTACCCAGACCACGACTGACCAGCACGGGAGTGATTCTGTCCCAGTAAATTCTAACTGGCAGGAGTAACAGATGAGATTCCTTATCATCAGCCCAGCTTTTTGTGCCTCCAGAGCTGGGATTGTCCCTGTGGCATTAATCCACTGCAGGTTTGGGGTTTGGTTCCTCTGCCCATGGCTGCCCCATGCAGGGTTTCCAATTTTGGAGGAAGCAGCAGGAGACCCCGTGGACTCACCTGAAGTTTTTCCTTTCAGCCAGACATGATGTGCTTGACAAAAGCTGAGGAGAAATGGGAGTGTGAGAGGTCAGAGGATGGTGTGAGCTGGGGGAGAGGGTGGAGGGGCAGCAGGGGGGACCCCCAGCTGGGAGACCCCGGAATGCCAGGACTGATATTCCTTCTTCTGTTCCCACTTTTTGCATGCCACCCCCAACCTGGTTAGAGTGATCCCAGCCCTTGGAGACGAGCTGGTACCGTTATCCCCAGTTTTAAGAGGCCAAGGGGAATGAAACCCCTCTTTTCCTCAACGCTCTCCAGTTTTAGTGGTTCCCAAATTTAACCACCCCCTATCCCAGATTTTCACCCTCTTGGAGCCACGAGTGATCCAGGTCTCCAAATGTTCCCAGTTAGCCTCTGCTGTGAAAGATGCTGGCTTTGTTTATTTTTGATAGCTTACAACAAAACAGTGCCAAACCCAGGGATAAAACAGTCCTGAAACCCTTGGAAACATGCTGTCTTCAGCTGCTTTTCCTGGAAATCACTGGCACAACCGCCTTGCTCCCACCCCAGCTGACTTGTCTCAGTGCTCTTTTAGGAAGGGCTTTGGAGGGTGGTCCACACCTCCCTCCTAGTGATCAGCAGTGTCATAGAATCATGGAATCATTAAGGCTGGAAAAGACTTCTAAGATCGTTGAGTCCAACCGAAATTTTCATCCTGAGACAAGACAGCCGTGCCTGAGATGGCCCCGATGGGAATCTCTCACTCTCACCTTCATAGTTGATGCAGCCATTGGCATCTTCCTGCCCTGCCATGAGCTGCTCCACCTCGCTTTCCGTCATCTTCTCCCCTGGAAGAGGAGGATGGAGAGGTGAGGGGAAGGATTCTCAGCCTGCCAGGACCTTCCCATCCTTATTCCAGAGAGCCAAAGCCACCAGAGGAAAGGAACAGGGGTTAGAGAGGAGCTGTGTGCCCACAGACAGGTGGGAGATTGTGGAGAGAGGACCAAGCTGCAAAATGTTGTCTGATAACTGAGGGTGTTCTGGACTCTCCACCTCCCCTGGGTCACACCCGAAGCTGCAGCATAAGATGGGAAAGGCCCCACAGTCAGGAGCTCCTACAAGAGCCTGGGAGCAGCAGGGTGAGAAGGGTCCCTGTGACACCAGAGCAGCCACTTGCCCAGGCAGAGCTTGGGGTGGCCCTGCCCTGCTGCCCTGCTGCCTTAAGCCCCTAATGGTTTTTTATTTTTCTAATATTTGTAAGCCTTGTAAGTTTTATAGGTAGATTTTAAAAGCAGCAACCCTCACTCCCTTACATCCCTTTCTCTGTAGCACCCTTGTTTACACATTCCTTAACCCTCTTACCCCATTCTATGCTCCCTATATCAATCCTACTCCCGAATCCAATAGAACTGTTTAGTCTTTTGTCAAGGCAAGGCCTAGATTGTTGGCAGAACAGCATATCAGGGCCTAAACCACAGAACATGGTCAAAAACTGGGTGACTGTGTACCCTTTGTGCTCTGAGGGAGATGAAGATGGGATGAACAGGGGTCCCGAAATGCACCCCAGACCCATTTTCAGGGGGTGGACCCGGGGTGGACCAGACTAAAGGCCATAGGGTGGGCAAATCTGGGATTGGATGGATGGCATTACAAAAATGTAACCTCTCGGGCACAGGGGCGCGCGTCTTGTAACATCTTCAGCCTCGGCAAAATAACCCCTTTCTTATCTCACCCCTAATTAACTGCTCGGGGGGATTTTTCAGCGCCATAAATCCCACGGCAACACCCCCCCGGGCCGGCCCGTACCCAGCGTGACCAGCACGTGGCGCAGCTCGGCCCCCATCACCATCCCGTTGCCCTCCTTGTCGAAGACGCGCAGCCCTTCCACGAAGTCCTCGAAGGTGCCCTGCTCCTTGTTGCGGGTGAAGTGCTGCAGGATGGGCAGGAAGGTCTCGAAGTCCAGCATCTTTGTGTTCATTTCTGGAAGGGAAGGGAGGGGGGGAGGAGATGGGGTCGGAGGTACATTTGTGTCACGGGATGTTCCGAGTTGGAAGGAACCCGTGAGGATCACTGAGTTCGACTCTTGTGTGAATGGCCCACACAGGGATCAAACCCACAACCTTGGCGTGGTAAGCAGCAGGTTCTGAGGCTGAACTCAGTCTCTGAGGGCCTCCTGCTTAACCCTCCTGGGCTCTTTTCCAGGGGAGAAGCCCCACGGGGACATGGAACTATTCTATTATACTTGAAATTGGAAGATCCATATGAGGAATAAGGTATTAACGTCAGGGGACTGCACAGACACCCCTGATATCAGCCCAAAATTAAAGCAGCAGGTGGGTCCCCTCTCACCAGGGCTATGTGGCCACACTGGGACTGGTCAGGTTACACCAGTTGGTACCAGTTCAGGATAAGGTCTGCTAAGCATCATTAGCCACCACGCCTGGGTGAGCACCACCTATCCCTTATGTCAGCCGTGGTATGGGGAAGGGGAGTGAAGGAATACACAGGAATGAAGCCCGTCTGCATAATTTCCTTCCCAATTCCCTCACCTTGCCGGGCTGTTCCTACAGGGAACATACACTCTACTTGCAGCCAGGGAGCTCAGGGATTGCTTGTCCCACCCTGTCCCCGGTTCGCTCTCACCTTCTGGTTTGGGCTTGCCCAGCACCTTCAGGACCTCCGCGTTGGTGGGGTTGTGGCCGAGCGCCCGGAGCACGTCCCCGCACTGCCCGTAGCTGATCTGCATCGTCCCCGCGGGCGTCCGGTCAAACAGCCCGAAGGCTTCTCTGAACTCTGCGGGGAGGGAGGGCTCGGATGTCCCCGGCTGTGCCCGCCCCATCTCCCACCCCACCGAAGCTCGTCCTGCCTGGCGGGCAGGGAAGGGGTGGACGGTGCCCTCTGAGCGCTGGGTGAGCTGGAGCAAGGCGGGCTGGAGGCTGCCAGGCTCCTCGGAGGAGTCGCTCGGCTGCTCGAGCAGGTTTTGTCACCCGTGCAGAGCTGGCTGGGTGACCTGCCGGATCCCTGCACCCGCGGCAGCAGGCTCTGCTGCAGGACATCCCTGCTCATCCCCTTTTCCATTGGGATCTCCCCTCTCTGGGGCTGTCCCTGCATCTCCGGAGGCTGCTCCTCCCACCAGAACCCCTGACTTTGACCCGGGCTGCATCTCACACCGTGAATGAAAATTACCCTTTCCCTACCAGGCTCTGGATCCTGCTGAGCTTTCCCCCAGGAGGGGATTTGATGTGTGTGGCCCTGGCTCTCATGTCTGTGGTGAAAAACTACCTGGAAAAGGGATTCCCCATTTCTAAAGCCATCTCTGGGAGACACTGAGCTCGGCACTCACCTTCGATCTGCTCTGCTGTGAATTCAATCTGTGAAGAGAAGGGAACAGAGCTGGGCATGAGGAGGGGGGTGTCACTGCCGGGGGAACGAAGGGGCTCTGCCATCTCTTTGGATCTCCCCCTCCCCGGGCTCGGGGCAGGAGCCGTGTCCATGCCGTGCCCAGCCATGCCATGCCCAGGAGCCCTTGCTGCTGAGCTGAGATCCCTGCGGAAAGCACAGCCAGCAGCAGGGCGGGGGGCAGGCAGGAGGGATGCTCAGACCACAGTCAGGGCTATTTTGAATGGAAAGGATGTTATTTTTAAGGCCTGATCCCTAGTTCAAGTGATTAAACAGCCCCAGCGTGCCGAGGCTGCTCTTAATGACTCTCCTGCCACAGCTCCGGCTCAAAAATGTGACTGTCCCGGGGAACCACGGGGAAAGCAAGCTCCCGTTGTGGAGACCGGGATAAAAGAGGCTCTTATGTGGAGGAAGCAACACAGGCAACAAAATACTTTAGGATGGAGACGGTGGGTGGCAGAGAAGGTTTTTATTGCTGCTGGGGCCCCGACACGGAGTCTCAGCGGGAGCTGTGGGGGTTTGGCTGCACGGCCGGAGCTCCGGGAGCAGCAAATCCACAGTGCAGGGCTGGGTGGGGAAGACTAAAACATCCCCCCGGTGAGGAGAGCATCGCTCCCAGCCTGCTGCATCCGCACAGTCCGGCAGTTTTCCCCTCCCAAGCCTGGCTCCCAGCCTGGCTGACGCCTTTTGTGCGGCGCTTTGCATCGCCCGTGCCTGGCAGATGACGGGCATGGAGGAAGACGGTGACGTCCTCGTTCCTCACTCACCTTCACGCTCTTGGGATCGAAGGCAGGCTCCCGCTCCGAGCCTGCTTTGGCCGATTCCTTCTTGGGGTCGGGTTTCTTGAGCGGCATGGCCGGGATTTGCGGAGGTGCAGGGGGACTCCTGCCGCCCAGCGAGGGAAGGGAACGGAGGGATGAAAGGCAAAGGCTGCTCCTTGCCTTATATACGGAGCCCAGTCCTCACCCCGGAGGGGCAGGCCAGCTGCTGGAGCAACTGCTACTTACTATAAAAGGAAGAAAACTCAAACGAGAGGGGCCCCAATTTGACAATTGCCCATTGTCATCTCCTCCTGGCTCCGAGGAGCCACCGGCCGCCCCCCCAGCACCAACAGGGGGGACACGTCCCCCTCCAGCACCTGCAGCGGGTGGGCTGCATGGGGGCTGCTTGCTAATGACCACTGAAAACCTAAACTCGGACGGCCACGGGGGCCTGGCAAGGAAACAGCAAGTGATGGCTGATAAACCTGCTGGGATACCCGCGGGGAGAGCGCCTGGCTCCAGGCAGGACTGCGAGGGCCGGGGCTGCAGAGCCCTTCTAAGGCCAGGGGTTTATGAACTGCTCCTTCAAAGGAGCTCAAAACCTCTCTGAATGATCCCCCTGGCCTCGTGCTCGGGGTCTGGTTTGCCCCATTGTCTTCCCAGGGCTGGACTGTGCCCTGGAAAAGGCCATGCTGTCAGTGCTCACCTCCCTCAGGGTGGCTAATGGGGTAATGCAAATGATGGCCAAAGCCAGCACTGAATTCACCAGCTCGGGGTCTTTCCCAGCCCTGCACCCCCCATCCCGAGCATCCCCAAAACCTGCAGGGCAGATGGGATCTCCTTTTGGCTTCCCTCCAGTCACTGGGCAGGCTCCAATGGGAGATATTCCTGCTCTCACCCTCCTCTCCCAACTGTTTGAAGACCCATGGAATAGGCAGAAGAACTCACCAAGGTTCAGCATCCCAGGAAACAGGGCTCCAGGGTTACACTGAGACATCCTAAACCATCAACTTAAACGTAGCCAGGTGGTACCAGGGCACAGGGGGAGGAAAACGCTCTCAGGCACATGGTGGGATTGTTCAGGTGTCCTGTGCAGGGCCAGGATTTCGACTAGTGGACATTTGTGGGTCCCTTCCAACTCAGGATATTCTGTGAAAACCCATGCCAAATTTGCACTGGGATCCAAGAGCTGGTGTTCTGGTAACAGAAGCAAATGGACAAAAAAATGATTTACAACAGATGAGAGTGTCTTCTGCACTGTGGAGTTGCTGCACAGCCTCATCTCTCCAACATGGGCTTAAGTTGGGCTCAGGGATGGTTGGAAGCCTTTGGGTGGAACAGAGTCCTGTGGGATGTTGTTAGTCCTGGTGCCAGAGCTACGAGGTCTCAGTGCTGGCTGGAGCCTGAGCCATGATATTTTTACATAAATATATATAAACACATTCTATATGTGTGTATTTAAGTGTTGCTTATACATAGATATAGAAAATACCATCATATTTGTAGTTTTAGTGGCTCAGTCTTGGCATGACCAGGCTGTTCAGGAGCTGCCACAGGGCCAGGAGTGATGGGAATGGGGGTGTCACCAGCCCAGCCCTGTGCTCAGAACCCCCCAGTCTCTTCCTTGCTGAAGCCAGAGGCTGAGCCATCCCCAGC